TATATGGCAACGAGAGATATGGCAAAAAGAGGTTACCACTGGCGAAGATAGTAATGGGTGCGCGATATTCATCAGGATTTATTGAAGCCAAAGTGCAGAGTGGGTCTGAAAAGTAAAAGGAAAGAAAAATAACAAATAATAAACACTTTTATTTGTTTTAGTTAAAAATAATTAGCATTTTTTACTTCCCAATATGCTAATGGTATATCAAAGCAACTATATATTTGAAGAGAAAGAGCTTGCGACTATTGCTAGATTAATGTCCTTGGTCCGTAGTCATAAAGAAGTTTGAAACAGATTTTAACTTACTTAAACTTGTCATAATTAACTTAAAATAAAAGAAGCGCACACCCTTAAACTCATTTTATGTTTAAAATGAGGAGAATGTGATTTTAAAAATTTACAAACTTGTAGAAAAGCAGAAAAGTTCTCATAGTTAATCTTGAAAAAATTAAAACAAGTACATAATTTGTAAGCAAAAAATAACACCGCCTGCAATGCTCATATGAAGATGTAGAAGTGCCGTTAATTTCTTCATGCTCCAATGTTCCGGAACTAAACCAAATTAGAATGGGACCACGACAGTCGAGTCTACATAACGGGAACGACCCAGATTTACATAAATCTGGCCAAGGACTGTTACTCCAGCAACACTCCCCAAAAATTCTGTGGGGAACATGTATGTTGTTTCGAGGATTAACGAAAATGTAAAATCGGCTTTTGTCCACAAGTTTCGTTGTAACTATGAGGGTGTTCACACCTCTCTGGTTATCTGGTTAAATGATTATATTTTTTTATTCATTTTACAATAACATACACTATAGAATATCCATGGCTGAATGGATCGACCTATCTCGACAGTCAGTTCGAAAACTCCCTACCTCAGAAAATATTTCAACAACGCTTTATCTCAGAAAACTTTTCCAGAACGCCCTACTTCAGAATTTTATTGAAAAACGCTCTATCTCAGAATTTGGTTGAAGAACGCCTATGTCAGCTGCCGATCCAAAAACGCCCCATCTAAGCTTATTCTCAATGTATTTTCGTTTGAGATTTCAGTAAATAAAATTCTGAAATAGATCGTTTTTCAATCCAAATTTCAAGTAGGGAGCTCTTGAAAATTGTTGTGAGATAGGGCGTTTTCGAACTGGTAAGCTATCGTCAATATGTAATATTTTTTAACCAACTAACGAGGCAAGTGTTAACACCAACCATAGGTTTTTACATACGACTATGACTACGGGCACTTATCTTTACTCAATATAAGTATGTACAAAAGAGAATACATATGTATGTATATTACCCAACTAAATTACTGCATTTAAATGCAATTTATTACATTTTACTTTTGGGAGTGTGTTATGCAAGTTTATACAAGCACATATGAATTTGTGTAAAATTTGCTACTTACATGCCAATGTATCTACACTTCCTTCGCGAGTTAGTGAATCGCTGCGCACAAAACGTTTGTTTCCCACCTCTCCAACGCCTTCTAATGAGTCCAACCGGTTTAACTCTTTTGTTGACTGCGACGATGTGTTGGTCGAAGCTGAAGCGGCAGTCGATGTGTCATCACTAGCCGCTTGGCTCGCTGCCGACATCGCGGACGATACCAAGGTACAATCGTCTACTGCAACACCAATACCATTTTCCACACCGTCTTCACAAACATTTTCGCATATTTTTGAAGTTACTTCCTCTGATTGCACATTTTGTGCCAAAACAGTTATGGGTTGTTCACGTTCTTTCAATTCAGCTGCTTCCTTTTGTATAGAATCTGTAAAGTCGGGCATTGGCGATAGTGGGCGCGACGTACGCACACATGCTACTTCTTGGAAGCCTTTTTCCAACAGACGTGGTATAAGAGAAGCAATGCCTAACAGCAGTACACACATACCTCGTACCGGTGAACCAAAACACACAACACGTCTTTGCAAGAGAAACAATTTAAAAAGTATGAGCATTTTGTGACGCCAGTGCAGGACGATCTCGCGCAGCGATAATCCTACATGAAAATTGCGTAACGGTCGTTGGGTTTCATCGTCCAACAGGCAAGCATTAAGTTGCTGGTATGCCTTTATTAGAAATTCAGTGCATGAGAAGTCACCTTTCTCGAAGAAAGCATCAGCGATTAAAGCGAGTTTCACCTCTATATAGCCGTAGATGGGTAGCCGCGCAAGGATCACAATCGATTTTTGCACTGTACTGCGTGTCATGTCAGCGGTGCGTATAGTCAATTTCTGTAAAAATACATGTCCATACTTATGTATGTAGTTTCATAACTTCCTAATAAGTATTAAAATGTTGATGCAAATATTTACCTCAATCGGTATTTGCCGGTAACAAGAAACGCCATATACGCTCTCCGTAGGCTCAGTCAGACTAGGCAAGTTAAAAAATACCGTATCATCGGCGAAATTATGTGATCCATCGGGCAGCGCTAAAGTGGGCAAATATTTCCAGCCTGATGGACACTCATTCTTGCCAGTTGTGCCCGTTATAAGTGGAGGGTGGGAAAACTCAACCTAGTTTGCGATATAAAATTTTTTATAGATTTCCACAATTTTG